GGAGGGCGACCAAGATGGAAACCAAGCCTTATGAGGAATGGTTGAAGGAGCTGGGTATGTTTAGCCTGGGTAAAAAAGGAGACGGAGAGGAGATATGATAGCCATCTTCAAATATCTCAAGGGCTCTCACATGGAAGAGGGAGCAAGCTTGTTTTCTCCTGCTCTGGAAGGTAGGACTTGAACCCATGGCTTCAAGTTACAAGAAAGGAGATTCCGACAAAACATCAGGAAGAACCTTCTAACAGTAAGAGCTGTTCGACGGGGGAACGGTCTCGGATGCATCCAAGGAAATGGGGGCAATTTGCAGGCCCCCAGGTGGCTCCAGACCACCAGCCGGTAGCTGGGCGATCTCCGGTCCTTGACACAGCATGAAACAGCGACCTGCAGCTTCAGAACTCTTCAGGAGCTGGAGCACACTCTAATCAGCAGAGTAAATAACTCTTTGCAATGGAAGGGCAGAAAGAGGCATATGTAAAGTGTATTTGCGGGTGGCACTGTGGGTCAAACCACAGAGCCTAGGACTTGCCGATCAGAAGGTTGGCGGTTCGAATCCCCGCGGCGGGGTGAGCTCCCGTTGCTCGGTCCCTGCTGTTGCCAACCTAGCAGTTCGAAAGCACGTCAAAGTGCAAGTAGATAAATAGGTACCGCTCCTGTGGGAAGGTAAACGGCGTTTCCATGCGCTGCTCTGGTTCGCCAGAAGCGGCTTAGTCATGCTGGCCACATGACCCAGAAGCTGTACGCCGGCTCCCTCGGCCAGTAAAGCGAGATGAGCGCCACAACCCCAGAGTTGTCCGTGACTGGACCTAATGGTCAGGGGTCCCTTTACCTTTAAAGCGTATTTACAAGCAGTTTATTCAGGACAAATGAAAAACATGACTCTCCCCTTTCATGTCCAAGGAAGCAGCTAAAGCAAAAGCTATACACAAACCGAAGTTCCCAGCAAGCTGTGTTGGACTGTAAACAGACATGTCACATACAACAACTCCACACGCCTGTTCTTAAGGTGGAATGGAACATCGATATCCTAACAGGACTCTCCTTCCTTGGATGTTTTTCAGCAGAGGTTGGATGGCCATCTGCCATGGATGCTTGAGCTGAGATTCCTGCACTGCAGGGGGTTGGACTAGATGACCCTGGGTGTCCCTTCCAACTCTATGATTCTACGAAGCTTTGGTTTGCTTTTGTGGAATAATACAGCGCTGAGAATCAGTGGCGTAGCGTGGGTTGTCAGCACCCGGGGCAAGGCAAGTAATTTGCGCCCCCTAACCCGTGGATTTGCGCCCCCTAACCCGTGGATTTGCGCCCCCTAACCTGTGGATTTGCCCTAACCCCAGATGTTGCGCCCGGTGCGGCCGGCCCCCCCTGCACCCCCCACGCTACGCCACTGCTGAGAATAATTTTGTCTTTTCCTGGTAATGGGTTGTGCTGCTATATATGCAAAGGTGTTAGAAGGGGAGTTTCCCCACATCCACTCCTAACACACTGTTCTCTGCCCGAAAGCCCTGACCAATAAGAAAACCCTCAGCATCCTCACTCTTTTTGCAGCTGGCCATGACAAATACTGTATCTGATTGTGCTTGTCACCCTACCCGGTTCAGGGTCAAGATAAGGCAGAAGACTTGAGAAGAATGGAGTCTGGCCATAAATATTTGGTCACCAGCTTTCAACTCATCTGGGCACTTTCTCACAAAATCTGCAACAGAAGCTGGCCAGGGAGTTTTATCCCACAAGCAATTTGATAACGCCTTTACAGTAAAAGGATCATTGCCTAACCTTGAGAAATCCCTGCATCAGAAGAAGAAAAAGCACATTCTAATTTGGGCAGCCACATAGATTGGAAACTGTATTCAAACAAGGGTTGGAGGAAGTTAATCAGGGGCTAGATAGCCTGCTATCGTTTTCCTTTGGGAACCGTATTTAAGAAGCCAATCACAGGGTTGCACGTTGCTTATATTCTTGTGCCCTTCCTGGAGGAGAACAAGTCAACCAATACAAGTGTCAGCCTTCCAGAAGGTAAAGGATTACTACTTGAAAATGATTTACAGATGGCATTTAACTCCAAATAGGCTTGCTAAGATGTACATGACTGAATTAGATAATTGCTGGAGTTGCAAAGAGGTGTAGGGACCGTTCTTTCATATGTGGTGGACTTGTAAAAGGGTAAAAGAGTATTGGGAAATGATCCATAATGAATTGAAAAAAAGATGTTTAAAAGTACTCTCCCAAAAAAAACCAGAGTCCTTTTTGTTGGGGAAAATTCAGACTGAAATTTGCAGGTGTCAAAAAAGGTTATTTATGTATGCCACTACTGCGGCCCGTGTTTTGTTAAGCCAAAACTGGAAAGCGAGTGAGGTCCCAACCAAAGAAGAGTGGCAACTTAAGTTGACAGAATATGCGCAGCTTGCAGACTTAACATAGAATAAGAGAACAAGAAGAACGTACGTTTAGAGAAGATTGGAAAACATTTATTGAATATATGGGAAAGAACTGTGTATAGCTGAAAATGCTGGCAGCATTAAGTTAAATTCAACAGTGTAAATAAGTTATGATGGATGTAACAATGGAATACTGAAAGGTATAGTTTCTGTAAAATATGCAGGGGTTTATGATAATGTAAAATGAACCATGGAAAGAGAAGAAGGGAAGTCATTGATATTTTAAGGATGTAAAAATGAGTACTTTAAACTGTAAAACAGAAAATTTAATAAAAATTATATACACAAAGCAATTTTATTCTCTGTTAAAACAATTTCCTTCTTCTGCTCTCCTGTTTTTTAAAGATGATTTTTACTGAATTTTTTACGATAAAAAAACCACATAAAAACGAACGGGACACAGGCTTGACTCTAAACTTGGTGCAGCTTGCAAATGAGCAGAAAGAATGAAACAGTCAAATAATAATAATAATGTTATTATTTATAACCCGCCCATTGGCTGGGCTTCCCCAGCCACTCAAACAGTCATGGAGAAGATAATAGAATCATAGAATGGAATATAGTTGTACTTTGGATCTCAAACGCCTTGGCTCCCAAACAAATTGGCTCCCGAACAATCAAAACCCGGAAGTGAGTGCTCCAGTTTTCGAACAATTTTTGGAAGCCGAATGTCCAGTGTGGCTTCCGCAGCTTCTGATTGGCTGCAGGAGTTTCCTGCAGCCAAACAGAAGCCACGCTTTGGTTTCTGAACGTTTTGGAAGTTGAACGGACTTCCGGAACGGATTCCGTTCGACTTCCGAGGTACGACTATAATGGAATTGTAGAGTTGGAAGGGACCCGGAGGATTATTTATAGTTCAGCCCCCTGTGATGTAGGAACACGCAAGTGTCCCGTATGGGGATCAAACCTGTTACCTTGGTTTTATCAGCACCACGCTCTAACCAACTGAGCTATCCAGATGCAGCAATATAGAAGGCCAACAAAGCTAATTTATAGATTTAAAGCTAAAGGCAAAAAATGTCTAGGTGGAGAGCTGAATGAAGGACTGCTCCCTGTTGTTGTAAAATGAGTTTGACCAAAGGAAACCAAACAACTGAAAATGATCTTTTAGATTTAACCCTTCTACGTTGTCTCTTGCGCTTCATTGTTGTTGTTTAGTCGTTTAGTCATGTCCGACTCTTCGTGACCCCCTGGACCAGAGCACACCAGGCACTCCTGTCTTCCACTGCCTCCCGCAGTTTGGTCAAACTCATGCTGGTAGCTTTGAGAACACTGTCCAACCATCTCGTCCTCTGTCGTCTCGTTCTCCTTGTGCCCTCCATCTTTCCCAACATCAGGGTCTTTTCCAGGGAGTCTTCTCTTCTCATGAGGTGGCCAAAGTCTTGGAGCTTCAGCTTTATGATCTGTCCTTCCAGTGAGCACTCAGGGCTGATTTCCTTAAGAATGGATGCGTTTGATCTTCTTGCAGTCCATGGGACTCTCAAGAGTCTCCTCCAGCACCATAATTCAAAAGCATCCATTCTTCGGCGATCAGCCTTCTTTATGGTCCAGCTCTCACTTCCATACATCACTACTGGGAAAACCATGGCTTTAACTATACGGACCTTTGTTGGCAAGGTGACGTCTCTACTTCTCAAGATGCTGTCTTGGCCTGTCATTGCCCTTCTCCCAAGAAGCAGGCGTCTTTTAATTTCGTGGCTGCTGTAGCTTTCTGCAAATGCTAACTGACCTATCTTATTCCAGCATCCCTTTAGAGAATGAAGTGAGATTGAGCTCTCCAACGCTGGGCGAATTCCAGCCTCGCTGCTGTTGCTAGGTGGATGATTAGATCTTTAAATGAGGCATTTTGCATGGTTTCTGAGAAGAGTGATAGCAGTGCTGGAGGAGCAGTCTGTTCTTAAGAAATAAATAAATCACCTGACTATTTAAGCAGAGGGATATGCAGTGGAGATTAGGGTGGGGGAGAAATTCAGCTCACTTTGCATTTAGAGCTGGTTCTACCACACTTCCCAAAACACCATGGGAACCAGAACACAGCTCTCCTTCATAAATCACATTAGTGCTGATTTTGCAATGCTCCAGCTAAGCAATGTTCCCAAAACTGCATATGTGAAAGTTTGCATTAAAAAACTGAAGGCATAAAGTGAAGATATCAACACACAAAATGCGTTCTATTAGAAGAAACAGCTTGCAAAATATGCACGCTTAAAGAAATGTATTCAAAATGTGTTTATTTAGGAGAAATTGGCACTACAGTTCCTGCAGAAAATGTGGGGACCTGAATTTTAAGATTGGAGAAATGGAGAGACTTGAAGTTATCAGATCCTTCCCTCCCTAGGTGGGAGGAAATGAGATCCATTGCGGGCTAGTGGTTAGAGCAGATGTGGGAAAAAGACAACTTCCGATAGCCCTGGCCATTGGCTGCGCTTGTTGGTGCTAATGGGAGTTGTAGTTCAGCGATATCTGGAGTGCCAAGTGTTCCCCAAACCTAGGTTAGTGTGTTAGACTCCTAAGGTGTTGTTTCCAGCTAATGAAACTATGCATTTAAACAAGCGTCTCTCCAAACAGCCGCTCGGTTTTGAGGAGCCTGCACGATGTTGCCGATTCTCCTCCTCGTCGCGGTGTGCCAGCTGAACTCGCCAGGGAGGGCCGAAGTGGTGACCTCTTTTGAAGATGTCTGCCCCCAGTTTTTCTTCAGAGGAACCCCTCCGAGTATCGGGCTGGCTCCCCCGCACCCGGCTCGGATTTGCCAGCGGTACAAAAACCAATATCGTTTTGCCACTCTGTACGACCGAGACAACCGCATCCCTGTGTTCTCTGCGTACATCTACAACCCTGGGCAGGCAAAGAGGCCGAACACATGGAGAATTGAACCCCAGGTAAGAGGTCGGAGCAGACAAGAGCCGCTGCTTTAAACTCAGTGTCCCCACCTGCGTTCAAGTATGTTTCTCAGCACAATTCACAGCTGGGGAGCCAGCTGTGGTGTAGTGGTTAAGAGCGGTGGACTCGTAATTCAAAGTGTTGGTGCTGACCTTCAAAGCCTCGGCCCAGTATATCTGAAGGAGCATCTCCACCCCCATCGTTCAGCCCGGACACTGAGGTCTAGCACCAAGGAGGGCCTTCTGGCGGTTCCCTCCCTGCGAGAAGTGAGGTTACAGGGAACCAGGCAGAGGGCCTTCTCGGTAGTGGCGCCCGCCCTGTGGAACGCCCTCCCATCAGATGCCAAGGAAATAAACAACTACAGTGGTACCTCGGGTTAAGAACTTAGTTTGTTCTGGAGGTATGTTCTTAACCTGAAACTGTCCTTAACGTGAGGTACCACTTCAGCTAATGGGGCCTCCTGCTGCCACCGCACAATTTCTGTTCTCATCCTGAAGCAAAGTTCTTTCTGGGTGAGCAGAGTCTGTAACCTGAAGCGTCTGTAACTGTACCTGACTTTTAGAAGACATCTGAAGGCAGCCCTGCTTAGGGAAGTTTCTAATGTTTAATATTTTATTGTGCTTTTAATATTCTGTTGGGGGGTGCGGTGCCCAGAGTGACTGGGAAACCCAGCTAGATGGGCGGGGTATAAATATATTTATTATTATTAGTAGTAGTAGCAGTAGTATTCAGCCTGCCTATTTGGGAGGGAATTCAGACATTGCAAAATGCCTAAGTTCCGGAGGAAACCCTGATCTGGGGAGGCATTGCACCCCAACACATCTTACTGCTGAAAGTGGGGAGAGGCTAGCGAGGTGGTTGAAGGCAGTGTTTGGCAGGGGGGGGGCAGGTTTGTCTTCTCATTTACTCCCTTTGTCTTCTCAGTGTGGTGTAGTGGTTAAGAGTGATAGACTCACATCAAATCAAATCAAATTTTATTAAGCGGTCACAGACCAGATTAACTCGTACAGCTAGTCAGCGAAGCATAACACCGGAAAGAACAAAGGACAATTTCAATACAGATTAGGCCATAACAGCAATTTAGAATTAGACAGCATAAATAAAATTAAGTATTTGCCTTCGCCTGCATATTGACATTGGAAAGCTCTTGTTTCCTGCGCCTAATAGCGGCTACACAGAATTTGGCAACATTGATCGTAATTTCAGGAACCTTATCTTCTACCAAGGCTCTCATACGTTGGAGTTCTGGTTCATTTTTAAGCTTTTGTAGAACTGGGGCAATAAAGGTCAGGCGTAGATCCTCGTAGAAACTACAGTGCAGCAATACATGCAGACTTGTTTCCACTTCCGATGAGCCACATGGGCAAACACGTGACTCATATGGTTTGCCCTCATATCTGCCTAGCAGCAGGGCAGAGGGCAGAACGTTAAATCTGGCCAGGGTAAAGGAGTTAGGTATTTGTAAATCAGCCAGATAATTTGCGGGTGAGAACCCTCTTCCAAAGTCTCTAATTGTGGCATGTTTATCCATTTTGCCCATATGACATTGCAACTCTATGTCCCTAATGCGTTGGAGCACTTGACTTCTGGCTCTCTCATATCCTGCCGCTATCAAGATCTGTGGGGAGAATCCCAAGCTTCTTATCTTTTCAAACAGGGAAGCTTTCCAGGTAGAATGAAAGGTGTCTAAGAGTGTTAAAGGAGCCAAACCGGCCGGGGGGAAAATAAGTTTTAACCAGTAGTGTATCTTTAGAATCCACAACCGCGCGTTAACGGGTGGTTGTCCAACTTCTAAGCGGAAAGCTATATTAGATACACAGGGGGGGATCCCCAATAAACACCGATAGAATTTTGTTTGAAATGCCTCCATAGGCGCAAAATTTTTAAAACTGCAAACCTGGGATCCATAAGTGAGTTGTGGGAGTATTTTTGCAGCAAAAACCTGGGAGGCCGCCGGAACGTATTTACCCCCTTTCCCGTGAAAAAATCTTGTAAGGGCTTTATTGGCCCTTCCTGCGTTGGCAATGGCGTTTTTCATCTGTTGGTGCCACGAGACCCTTTCCTGAAAAGTTATTCCCAGGTATCTGAAAGTTGCTACCTGGTCAATAGGGTGACCATTAATTCTCCATTTGTGTTTCCTTCTGTTTTTTGAAAACACCATAATTTTAGATTTGCTGTAATTTATTGATAGTTGTTCCACTTGACAATAGTCAGCAAGTGATCTCAAAAGCTTCCTCAAGCCAACGCAGGAAAAGGAGAGTAGGACTGCGTCGTCCGCATACAGAAGCACCGGGAGGGGCATACCTGCCAGTTTGGGAGGGTGGGCATTTTCTTTCGCCATATTTACAGCTAGAGAGTTGATATAGAAATTAAATAGCGTTGGCGCGAGGACACATCCTTGTTTAACCCCATAGTGCGTTTGAATTTCTTTAGTTAGATGGCCTGACCGATCGCATCTTACCCTCACCCTGGTGTTTTCGTATAGACCACGGATAAGGCGTAATAAGCGTTTATCTATGTTTGTAGTGCCCAGCTTTTCCCAGAGTCTGTCCCTTGGTATTAGATCAAAAGCCAATTTAAAATCCACAAAAGCTGCATATAAAGACCCCCCTTTTCTAGAGTATTTGTCTGCCAGGTGTTGAAGGATAAGGGCCTGGTCTATAGTTGAACGCTTTGCTCTAAAACCAGCTTGAGCTTCTGATAGAATATGCTCTCTTTCCATCAAACAATTGTTATCCCTCACTTTCCAGAGCACTTTCCTTACCACAAAAAATGTTCTTGGAGAGGGTGGAAGCGTGTTTCTTGCATAGAGCACCAAATCCAAAGTAATTGGGCAATCTCAGTTTACTGGTATGGGATCAAATCCCACACAGGAATTTTGGATTCATTGGTGGGGCTTGCTTCCAAGTAAACATTCCAAGTAAAGATGGGGAGATGGGCTAGATCCAGAAGGGGGAGCCAGCGTGGTGTAGTGGTTAAGAGCGGTGGACTAGTAATCTGGGGAACCGGGTTCGCGTCTCCACTCCTCCACATGCAGCTGCTGGGTGACCTTGGGCCAGTCACACTTCTCTGAAGTCTCTCAGCCTCACTCACCTCACAGAGTGTTTGTTGTGGGGGAGGAAGGGAAAGGAGAATGTTAGCCGCTTTGAGACTCCTTCGGGTAGTGAAAAAGCAGGATATCAAATCCAAACTACTACTACTACTACTCTTCTTCTTCTTCTTCTTCTTCTTCTTCTTCTTCTTCTTCTTCTTCTTCTTCTTCTTCCTTGCACCCCTGTCTCTCTTTTTTCTTTTTTTAAAATGATATTTATTAAAGTTTAACAGTTACAGAAAAAAGAAAAGCAAGCAATAAAAAAATACAATAAGAAAAAACAACAATACAAGACAATAAGAAAGAGAAAACAAAAACATTTAAAAACAAAAACATTTAAAAACAAAAAACCCATCCAGTATTTTCATATCTTTATCTTTCATTTGCTTATTTCCTTGACTTCCTCGCACCTCCCTTTTTTGTATTCTAATTCAATTAATTGTTTCAGCAAGTCCTTTCCCTCTTTTTCAGATTTTGTTCCATGATTTATCTTAACACAATTTATCCTTAAATTTTATACCTTAACCCGTTAGCAGTCTATTCTTACTTAATTCTTTATAACATTTCTGCTAAAACTATATAACTTCTTTCCAGCATCCTTCTAACATTCATTAATTGTACAATATTTCTGCAAATATACTTTAAATTTCTTTTTTCTAAAGCTCTTGGATTTAGCACTGCCGCCCGAAATGGAAACGGAAGGATCCCTCCTGCAGGAAGGTGGTGACATGCAGGAAGCACTTCAAGGCAGCCAGGCCGTTTTGCTAGATTACAAGAACCTGACCGATTTCAACAGGGGTCACCTGAACCCCAATGGCCACCAGCCCGACCGGGACGCCAAGTCTTCCACTTTCACGTTGACCAACATTGTGCCGCAATACATCAAGCTGAACGGCGGGGCCTGGAACCACTATGAGCAGTCGACGATGGCAAGCAAGACCGAGGGATGCCAGGAAACCTTTGCCGTGGTGGGCGCAGTGCCAGGGGATAGCTTCATTGCCAAAGGGAGGGTCAACAAGCCCAGCCAGGTATGGTCTGCAGCCTGCTGTGTCATAGACAACAATCACCTGAGATCTTGGGCCATAATTGCCCGCAATGACGAAAACGCAGTGCAGACTCTCACTCTGGGGCAGTTGGAGGAGAAGCTGGCAGAGTTGTATAACCAGAGTCACATCTCTCTGTTTCATAGCGATTGTCCCCGGGAATAAAGCCTTGTCCACAGAGACATCCTGCACGAATCTAGCGATTTCAAAGTTATGTTAGTCACATGTTATGTTAGTCACAAGGTTTGACCTTAAGTACAAGGTTTTTTATTATTATTATTCTGTATGTAGTCAGCCTGGTTTTTTTCTTTGGCAATCACTCATAGTTGAGTAAGATTGTCTTCCATAAACGCAGTTTTAACAGTGAGTGTAAGTGACTGTGGAGGCCAATTCTGGATCCACACATCCTTCCAAAGTGAGGACTTAGGTTTCCCACGGTGAGGGTTTGCCAAGCGTGCCTTCCTCTTAGCATGTTTCTCCCTTGCGTCCTGAGTTCGAGTGTCTTCAAAGTCCATAACACCTTCGGTAAAGGCTGTTCTCCGATTGGAGCGCTTGCAGGCCAGTGTTTCCCAGTTGTTGGTGTTTATACTGCATTTTTTTACATTTGCCTTGAAAGAGTCTTTAAACCTCTTTTGTCAACCACCAGCATTACACTTTCCATTTTTAAGTTTGGAATAGAGTAGTTGTTTCAGAAGATGATAATCAGGCATCCGCACAACATGACCAGTCCAACGCAGCTGATGTTGAAGAATCATTGCTTCGACACTAGTGATCTTCGCTTCTTCCATTAGTTCGCCTGTCAGCCTGGTGCCACTGATCCATATCTGGAAACTGGTATAGAGGGGAGGGGAGCTTTAAACATTTGCCCCCACAGTGTTTCTAATCCGGATCCTGCCATGGTTCCATTTGCCTCTCAATTCAGGAATTTTTTTGTACACACTGAAGCTCCAATGCACAAGCAGCACATATTAATTTTTTGCACACTTTTTTATTGATGCTTTGTTGATACAATGAGAAAAGAGGGGGGGAGAGAAAGAAAGAGAAAATAAAATGATGGGGGGAGGGACCTTGGGGCAGAGCAAACAAGTGCAGTAGCTACAGGCCAGCCATACCAACACTGGAGGTGTGTACAGACATGCACACACCCTGTTGGTCCATCCAGGCAACTGAGAGGCGTCTGAAGAATTCAATGTTACATTTCAGCCAGACAAAAGTACCTGGTGGGGGACAGTGAGAGGTGTGACCTGGGAAGGAGGGCTCATAGTCTGGGGAGAGTCCTAGGGGCTAGATAGGAAAGCCTGAAAGGGCACATTTGGGGCGAAGGCCTCCCCACCACTAGTACTAGCTCACGGGGCCTGGCTTCCCCCCTATGAATATGTCCCAGTTTTGCTTTCTAGCTCATCTCGGCTGAAAATGTGGTTGGTGAGAAGGACCGGTCCTTTGCAGGGGTGGCCCCACAGTAACTGAACTCCTTGATGAATAGGCTCCCTTCTCCCTTTAGGAACACAGGGCAATAGAAACGTTGGTGGGTGATGGATCAAGGCAAGGCAAAAGCCCTTGGGAGGATAGCTGCCTGGCATACAGGTAAAGGTAAAGGGACCCTGACCATTAGGTCTAGTCGCGGCCGACTCTGGGGTTGCGGTGCTCATCTCGCTTTATTGGCCGAGGGAGCCGGTGTACAGCTTCCGGGTCATGTGGCCAGCAGGACTAAGCCGCTTCTGGAGAACCAGAGCAGCGCACGGAAACGCCATTTACCTTCCCGCCAGAGCGGTACCTATTTATCTACTTGCATTTTGACGTGCTTTCGAACTGCTAGGTTGGCAGGAGCAGGGACTGAGCAACGGGAGCTCACCCCGTCGCAGGGATTCGAACCGCCGACCTTCTGATCTGCAAGTCCTAGGCTCTGTGGTTTAACCCACAGCGCCACCCGCGTCCCTGCTGCCTGGCACCTAACAGCCAATAAGCAACGAGTAAGGTAGACTTCCCTTGGGGAGGAGTTCTACAGCTTGGGGCCACGACAAGAAAGCCCCCACTGTCACTGCAGATATATGTATTATTACATTTACATCCTGCCTTTCTTCCAAGAAGCTTACAGTGATATATACACAGTTCTCTCCTTCCCATCTTACCCACACAACAACCCTGTGAGATAAGCCAAGCTGAGAGACTGTGACTGTGCCCAAGGTGAGCTTTGTGGCCAAGCAGGAATTTGAACCCTGGTCTCCTGGGTCCAGGGACGCGGGTGGTGCTGTGGGTAAAACCTCAGCGCCTAGGACTTGCCGATCGCATGGTCGGCGGTTCGAATCCCCGCGGCGGGGTGAGCTCCCGTCGTTCGGTCCCTGCTCCTGCCCACCTAGCAGTTCGAAAGCACCGTCAAAGTGCAAGTAGATAAATAGGTACCCCTCTGGCGGGAAGGTAAACGGTGTTTCCGTGTGCTGCTCTGGTGCCGGTTCGCCAGAGCAGCTTTGTCACGCTGGCCACGTGACCCGGAAGTGTCTCCGGACAGCGCTGGCCCCCGGCCTCTTGAGTGAGATGGGCGCACAACCCTAGAGTCTGTCAAGACTGGCCTGTACGGGCAGGGGTACCTTTACCTTTACCTTTACCTCCTGGGTCCAGCACTCTAACCACCAAGTCACACTGGCTTTCATATGGTGGGGGCAAGATAATTTATATTTCTTAATTTTCCCCAATGTGCAAGAGGGGGGTGTTATTGCAGGAGGCTAAAATCTGTATGGAATTTATTTTTTCAAAAATACCCCAGCAGGAGTCCAGCAAATGCATGAACGATATGAGCGACATAATAATAGGGAAATCAACATCATATTATGCATGAATGAATCTTGGGCAAATGTTGTTTACATGGAAAACAAAACAGAATATGAAGATGGAACTTTTAAACTTAACTCTATGCAGAACAATGGGCAAGATTAAATTAACTACAAATTAACAGCTGCTAAATGCTGTGTTAGGGACGTGGGTGGCGCTGTGGGTAAAACCTCAGCGCCTAGGACTTGCCGATCGCATGGTCGGCGGTTCGAATCCCCGCGGCGGGGTGCGCTCCCATCGTTCGGTCCCAGCACCTGCCAACCTAGCAGTTCGAAAGCACTCTGAAGTGCAAGTAGATGAATAGGTACCACTTTATAGCGGGAAGGTAAACGGCGTTTCCGTGTGCTGCCCTGGTGCCGGTTCGCCAGAGCAGCTTCGTCACCCTGGCCACATGACCCAGAAGTGTCTGCGGACAGCGCTGGCCCCCGGCCTCTTAAGTGAGATGAGCGCACAACCCTAGAGTCTGTCAAGACTGGCCTGTACGGGCAGGGGTACCTTTACCTTTACCTCCTGGGTCCAGCACTCTAACCAACAAGTCACACTGGCTTTCATATGGTGGGGGCGAGATAATTTATATTTCTTAATTTTCCCCAATGTGTAAGAGGCTAAAATCTTTATGGAATTTATTTTTTCAAAAATACACCAGCAGGAGTCCAGCAAATGAATTAACAGGTCATCAACGATAGGAGCATCAGAATAATAGGGAAATCAACATCATATTATGCATGAATGAATCTTGGGCAAATGTTGTTTACATGGAAAAACAGAATATGAAGATGGAACCGTTAAACTTAACTCTATGCAGAACAATAGGCAAGATTAAATTAACTACAAATTAACAGCGGCTAAATGCTGTTAAAAGGGACGCGGGTGGCGCTGTGGGTAAAAGCCTCAGCGCCTAGGACTTGCCGATCGAAAGGTTGGCGGTTCGAATCCCCGCGGCAGGGTGCGCTCCTGTTGTTTGGTCCCAGCGCCTGCCAACCTAGCAGTTCGAAAGCACTCCCGGGTGCAAGTAGATAAATAGGGACCGCTTACTAGCGGGAAGGTAAACGGCGTTTCCGTGTGCGGCTCTGGCTCGCCAGAGCAGCGATGTCACGCTGGCCACGTGACCCGGAAGTGTCTGCGGACAGCGCTGGCTCCCGGCCTCTAGAGTGAGATGAGCGCACAACCCTAGAGTCTGTCAAGACTGGCCCGTACGGGCAGGGGTACCTTTACCTTTACCTTTTAAATGCTGTTAATGTGTTGGGGCACCTAAAGCCCAGAATGTCTCTAGTCAAAAGTTTACTACATTAGCAATGCTGTCCTAACTACACAGTCCTTTAGAAGAAGACCAACTACCCAAAGTGAAATTCCGGGAGGCATAAACGTCCGTGGTTTTAGTTTCACATTACTAGAGACCAGTTGGGCTGCCAGGATATACAATCCAGGAAAATCCAGATGGAAAATTAGTCCAGGCATAAACTGTAGAAAAATGCTTATCACAAGCAGCAAGAATAGAATCTAAAAAAGAAAAGAAAAGGTAAGTTATTGCACACGCACACACCCACACACTGTAAAAAAAAAAGTGTCTGGAAAGGTGAAGCTAAGATGTTGACTACAGAAGAAACTGCAAACTTTTCTCTGATTCCCAACAACCCATAACTCTCTTCTCAAGTTTGATTGGTTCTTCTAATTCCACCTTCGCTCACAACTAAGACTTGTTCCGCAGTTGCTAAGTGGCAGCCAGGTTAACAGATAGAGCAAGATAAGCGACTGAACCAACACTTGCGGTCAAGTTGCAAGCCAGTGGGTAGGCAAGCTAAGGCCCAGGGGCCGGATCCAGCCCAATCGCCTTCTCAATCCGGTCCACGGATGGTCTGGGAATCAGCGTGTTTTTACATGAGTAGAATGTGCCCTTTTATTTAAAATGCATCTCTGGGTTATTTGTGGGGCATAGGAATTCGCTCATTTCCCCCCTCCAAAATATAGTCCCCCCCCCACAAGGTCTGAGGGACAGTGGACCGGCCCCTGCTGAAAAAGTTTGCTGACCCCTGTGCAAGCCGCATCCATGACCTCCAACCCAAGCTAAAGATAGTCCCACCAAGCTAACTCAAGTCCTATTGCTTTTGAAAGCCTTCAAAGCCTTTCTGAGAACAGAAATCGCGCAGCGGTGGTGCGGCGGCAGCAGCAGCAGCAGGAGGCCCCATTAGCTAAAGTGGTGCTTCAGGTTAAGAACAGTTTCAGGTTAAGAACGGACCTCCAGAATGAATTAAGTACTTAACCCGAGGTACCACTGTAATGGCATTGCCCCAAGTGAATCTCTGCCCGCTCCATCTCTCCCACTTCCTCATGAGTCCAGCAGCAGAGCAAGCCAATCGGGTGCCTGGGGCGGCGTGCACACCCTGTGCAGGGGGCGGGGCCAGCCACCCCAGCCGCCCGCGGGGCCTCCAAGGAGTCTGCCTGCCTCCTCCCACTCAGCCACCCTACAGGTGAGGGGCAGGCGGCGGGTGGACCATTTGGGGCAGCGTGGAGCCTGCGAGTGCTCAAGCCGCTGCGTTACTCCCAGGAGAGATGCTTGGCTCAGGTGCGCTGCAGGCCCTGTGCTGAGTGCCGCTAGGTGTGGTGTTTGCCCTCCTATGTGTGTGACATCATACTGGGTTCATAGGGAAAGGGTTAACTAATTGTAAAATGACTAACCAATGGGGACCCAGGGGGCAGATTTAACTGTGTATAAGGTTTAAGCACAGAGGTATTTTAGGGGGTTAGAGTTGTAGAGAAGACAGTCTGGAGTGAGAAGAGACAGAGAAGATAAGTCTGTGGGTTGGGCTAGTCTGGTGTGTGTGTGAGAGAATCTGTTAAGAGGAGTTGGTCAAACAGTTGAGATAATCAGTCAGAAGGTATTAGGAAGATAAAGATACTAAAGTTAAGAGGAATATTATCTGAGAAACCATAAACTTGTTAATGCTTGTAAAATAAACGGGTTTTTTGGTTCACTTTTAACAACTGTCTGGACTCAGCGTTTTACCAGAGAGTAACTGGTTGATGGCAGAGGGGAAGCGAGCACAGTGGTGGCACAGGGATCAATAGACCGTTAAACATCCGGGGTTGTGTTCGCTTCAGGAGGCGAACAGGGCTCCAGAACTAATCCCGTTTGCATCTAGAGGTACCACTGTATAGACATTTTAAATTCCCTGCCCTGGAGCTCAAGACCACCCTTCCATGCATCATACATACATCACAGAAGGGGTGTAACCCAAGACCACCCCCCACAAACATCATATCTACATCACAGAAAAGGTGTTGTCGTTTTTTCCTGTCTGCCAGGTTATCTGGTTGCCTTTCCTGATGGTCTGTCACCCATTAAAATGCTGATTTCTCAATTCCTGAGACAATGGGAAGGCTCCCTGACCCCCTCCCTCCTTGCAGAGAAAACCCCTGGTCAGTTTGGGAACCAAAAATGGTTTTCCTGTGCTGATCTATGTATGTGCTTGGTTGGTACACTTATGAACATTTAACATATATCTAAGACCTCACAGGGATGCGGGTGGCGCTGTGGGTAAAACCTCAGCGCCTAGGGCTTGCCGATCACATGGTTGGCGGTTCGAATCCCCACGGCGGGGTGAGCTCCCGTTGTTCGGTCCCAGCGCCTGCCAACCTAGCAGCGCTGGCCCCCGGCCTCTTGAGTGAGATGGGCGCACAACCCCAGAGTCTGTCAAGACTGGCCCGAACGGGCAGGGGTACCTTTACCTTTACCTTTAAGACCTCAAAATTCCTATCACACCCCTCATCTGCCTCTGAGCTGTGACCTCCCTCAAACCCCTGCTGTAATTCTGAACTGTCTTCTTCTTCTCTGGAAGGGTCAGACTGGGGAAATGGCCTCCACCATTCCTCCTCTGCCCAGTCCCTGACAGAAACTACAGTTTTAGGTTACAGCTTTTCCGGTGCAAAGGGCACTTTATAAGGCCACTTACCCCACAGTTCCTGCGAGGATTCCTTCTAAGATGATGAACTTGGCCATTGCAGCAAGGCTGAGAGCAGCTTTAAAACGAAAAGGAAACCACGTAGTCAGGGAGTGAGGAAATGGCTGGCTTATACTATCAGAGTTAGGAGAGAGCATTTTACTTGCAAGGAGGACTCATTATAGGAGTCACAGGTATTGGGTGGGATCAGGGCCGGATTTAGGTTTGATGAGGCCCTAAGCTCCTGAAGGGAATGGGGCCCTTTATATGTCCAGCTGTCCATTGTCAACAACAAATTGCCACTGTTCTTTGTGTTGGCCTGTGAGCGCTCCAATTGGAGAACAGCCTTCACCAAAGGTGTCATGGGCTTTGAAGACGCTCGAACTCAGGACAAAAGGGAGAAACGGGCTAAGAGGAAGGCATGCTTGGCAAACCCTCACAGTGATCAACTCCTGCCTGGAAGCCTAAGTCTCCACTGTTGAAGGACGTGTGGATCCAGAATTGGCCTCTATAGTCACTTACGGACTCACTGTTAAAACCCGGTTTATGGAAGACAATCTTACTCGGCTACTAGTGATCGCTGGAGAAGAAAGAGAAGGAGAAGGAGAAGGAGAAGGAGAAGGAGAAGGAGAAGGAGAAGGAGAAGGAGAAGGAGAAGGAGAAGGAGAAGGAGAAGGAGAAGGAGAAGGAGAAGAAGAAGAAGAAGAAGAAGAAGAAGAAGAAGAAGAAGAAGAAGAAGAAGCATTGCCACCTCTAGGCAGAGCTTAGGCATCATGGCTAAAGCCATCCAAGTTGGGAACACCACTGTCTCCTAGGGGAGAGACTTTCATTATTTAACTTTGGTCCACACTTCTGCCTGTGCTGTGCCTAAAAAGCGCCCACCCTGTGGAACGCCCTCCCGCCAGATGCAGAAGAAATAAACAATTAACACAACTTTCCAAAGACATCTGAATGAAGCCCTTTATCGGGAAGCTTTTTGTGTTCGGTGTTTTACTGCGGCTTCATAATTTGTTGGAAGCCGCCCAGAGTGGCTGGGGCAGCCCCGTCGGATGGGTGGCATATAAAGGAATCATGATTGCCAGGGAACTGCCATCAGCTCAGAGGCGAGAGGTGGAAGGCCAGTTGGGTTACAGGGAGCCTCCGAAGATCGTGAGAAGTAGTTCTTCCTCCGGGGAGGAGGGAAACCACACCTCCAGTGGGGAAGGGATGCAGGGCTCGGAGGTTGCAAGGGAGAGCCACACCACCGAGCCTGAGCAAAGCAGGGGGGAGGCAGGTCCCCCTTTGCCCACACCCTCTCTGCGCAGTTGGTTTGCGCACAGAGAGGGGAGGCGTAGGATGGGGTCAAAAGACTGCTCTGCTGGGGCAAGTTTAAGGACTGCCCACTCCCAGATTCTGCTAGTGACTGAGCAAGACATGGAATTGAGACGTTCTGAACTGTGAATGTTTTTGTACCAATAATAAAGCCTTGAAAAGACCAGTGGGGGTCTTGCCTATTCGCTCTCGAGCAACCACGCCGGCACACATAACAATGATGATGAAAGAAGTCTAGAATCAGCGACAGAAGCTGAAGCAGGGGAGGAGGGAAGCCAACAGGCAGAGACTCCTGACACAACAGACCCAACTGTCACAGCCAGTAGTCAAGTATGATGAGAGATGTAGCAGAAATCATCTGTAGGCCACCAAGTTGGAGAAGGTTGGTGGAGACAGGTGGACAACAAATATGGCGGCCATCGTCGTTATTGGTTCGAACCTAGGATATTCTGTAAGGGGGAAAGTGCCCTGTTACTATGCAACGTTTACTCTTAAACCTCATCTTACCTGCACCAGAACCCCGTGGTGTGTCCCTGTTGTGTCCCTGTTGTGTGCTACAACGGAGATTTAACTTAGACCAAACGTTTTTTCCACCAGAAGCCTCACAGGTGCTGACTTCAGAGAAGGGGACGGTTCCTCGATAGCCTTCCAGGCATTCATAGCGCAGTTTCTGCCCCACGTGGTACATTGTCACTTTAACGTCGGCATTGCTGAGGGGTTCTGGTTCTCCGCAGAAGCCTACAGGGCGGAAGAAGAAAATGAAGAAGTCTGACAGTCAGTGATGGAGCCAGGAACAAGTAGGGGCTGTTTGTTTGTTTTTAAGGGCCATATATTTTTATTTTCAATTTCGTGAACTCATTCTTTTCGTCGTTGTTTTACAGGTAGTACAAAAACCAAGGCAGGAGAAAATGAGAAGCGGGTACATGAGATCATCAAGGACAGAGATTCAAAAGCTGTTTGGCACCTTCTACGGCACCCAATGCAGCAGGTCTACTATAGGGGTGCAACAACCCAACAGAGAGGTACAGCAAGGGGGTTCTCCTGTATCTGCCACCTGAGGTGGTTGCCTAACTTTACCTAATGATAGGGCCGGACTGTCACCACAATCCTGGGTCCAAGATCTCAAAGATATCACTTTTGCAGGGTTAAAGTAAAGGTAAAGGGACCCCTGACCATTAGGTCCAGTTGTGGCCAACTCTGGGGTTGCGGCGCTCATCTCCCTTTATTGGCCGAGGGAGCAGGTGTACAGCTTCCGGGTCATGTGGCCAGCATGCCGAAGCCGCTTTTGGCGAACTAGAGCAGCGCACGGAAACGCCGTTTACCTTCCTGCCGGAGCGGTACCTATTTATCTACTTGCACTTTGACATGCTTTTGAACTGCTAGGTTGGCAGGAGCAGGAACTGAGCACCCTGTCGCGGGGATTCGAACCACCGACCTTCTGATCAGCAAGTCCTAGGCTCTGTGGTTTAACTCACAGCGCCACCTGCGCCCCTCTTTCCATGGTTAAAGGTAAAGGTAAAGGTACCCCTGCCCGTACTGGCCAGTCTTGACAGACTCTGGGGTTGTGCGCCCATCTCACTCAAGAGGCCGGGGGCCAGTGCTGTCCGAAGACACTTCCGGGTCACGTGGCCAGCATGACATCGCTGCTCTGGCGAGCCAGAGCCGCACACGGAAACGCCGTTTACCTTCCCGCTAGAAAGCGGTCCCTATTTATCTACTTGCACCCGGGGGTGCTTTCGAACTGCTAGGTTGGCAGGCGCTGGGACCGAGCAGCGGGAGCGCACCCCGCCGCGGGGATTCGAACCGCCGACCTTTCGATCAGCAAGCCCTAGGCGCTGAGGCTTTTACCCACAGCGCCACCCGTTTCCATGGTTACATTTGTGTTAAATGCATGATCAGGGACACGTACAGGATTAATAGCACCCCTTAGGATTCCCACCTACCCACCCTGAGATGTTCTGCTACTTCTGAACATTCCAAAATTTCTCCAACCCTGCTGGCATCAGAAGAGGAGCCTGGTGGATCAGGCCAATGGCTCATCAGGTCCAGCATCTTGTTCTCACAGTGGCCAACTGGATACCCATGGGAAACAGGCAGGATTCAAGCAGAAGAGCCCTCTTCCCTCTTGTGGTTGCCAGCAACAGGTATTGTGAATTGTTTTGTGGATTACGAGTGCTGCAGTGCTTTGTGAATTTTATAATACGACTTTTCTTGTGGTTGTGCTGTTTGATCTATTATTATTTTTTAGTTGTTTTGTTAATGTTGTATGGAAGGTGGCTGTTTCATTGGTGATTTGTTAACCGTTTTATATACCGTATTTTTCCATGTATAAGATGCCCCCATGTATAAGAGGACCCCTATTTATGAGCCCCAAATTAAGAAATTTAAACATTCCATGTATGATGCCGCCCAATTTTAAACTTAAACATTTTTTTGGGGGGGGGGGGAATATAGTCTTATACACGGGAAAATACAGTAATTTATGATGCAATGGTGATGCTCTGCGCGATTGCTTATTGTATCCAAGCCGCTTTGTGACTCATGTAAGTGAAGAGAGGTCATAGAAATAAAACAAATAAAACTGAAAAGCAATGGTATTTGGAAGGACAATGCCCCTAACTGCAGCGGCACACAGGGCACCAGTTTACTCTTTGCCTTTATTTGTTTCCTGTGCGGCTAAATTCCCACTTGCAGAGTGACTTCAACTATATAGAAGGATCTGGCAACTTCTGTTTCAGTGTATCTGAAGAAGTGTGCATGCACACGAAAGCTCATACCAAGAACTAACTTAGTTGGTCTTTAAGGTGCTACTGGAAGGAAATTTTTTTTGTTTTGACTATGGCAGACCAACACGGCTACCTATCTGTAACTTCACCTTTAGACTATAGGATATGAAGATGGAAGCGTCTGTCTTACCTGCCTGATTTGTAGGTTGGGGGCTGGTGGAAGCTATGCTCAAGTTTCCTGCTGTAGAATGTACTGTAGGAGGAAGAGTCTGCCGCGGGTCAGCTGTGTAGAAGAACGAGGAAGAAAATAAGGTACTCCAAACAATATAGAAGCGCTGGCTTTTTAGGCGCAGCATGCGATGAACCGCAAAGTAGAAGCATCTGTTTTCAGTCCAGGGTCCATTTTCCCTTGTGGTGAGCCTAGCAGGAGCCACATAACCATGGTGGGTGGAGCCAGAAGCAAAAGCGGGCAGAGTAGTAGTAATACAGTGGTACCTCGGGTTACATACGCTTCAGGTTACATACGCTTAAGGTTACAGACTCTGCTAACCCAGAAATAGGGCTTCAGGTTAAGAACTTTGCTTAGGATGAGAACAGAAATCGTGCTTTGGCGGCACGGTGGCAGCAGGAGGTCCCATTAGCTAAAGTGGTGCTTCAGGTTAAGAAGAGTTTCAGGTTAAGAACGGACCTCCGGAACGAATTAAGTACTTAACCCGAGGTACCACTGTAGTAGTAGTAGTAGTAGTAGTAGTAGTATTTTATACTCCACACATCTGTCTGGGTTTCTACCACCACTCTGGGAAGCTTCCAACAGAAACACAGGAAAGCCACAACAACATCTAACCCTGAAAGCTTCCCCAAACAGGACAGCCTTCGGATGTCTTCTGTAGAATTTCTCATAGACATCTGAAGGCAGCCTTGTTTTGGGAAGCTTTTCACGGTTTAATGTTTGTTATATTTTTATATATGTTGGAAGCTGCTCGTAATGGCTGGGGCAACCCAGTCAGATGGGCGGGGTACAAAAATTATTATTATTATTATTATTATTATTAACCTGTCTCCTTGACATCTGATGGGAGGGCATTCAACAGGGCAGGCGCCACTACCGAGAAGGCCCTCTGCCTGGTTCCCTGTGACTTCACTTCTCCCAGTGAGGGAGCCACCAGAAAGTCCTGGACTTCAGTGTCTGGGCTGAACAATGGGGGTGGAGACGCTCCTTCAGTTTGACAGCACAGAGGCCATTTAGGGCTTAAAGATCAGCACCAAGACTTAGAATTGTGCTTGGAAACATCCTGGGAGCCAACATAGATTTTTTAGCATCGTTGTTATGTGGCCCCATGGCTGCTCCCAGTCTAGCAGCTGCATTTGGGATGAGTGATAGTTTCTGGGGTCTTTTCAAAGGTAGAGCACATTGCAGTAGTCCAAGCGGGAGATACCGTATTTTTCGCCCCATAGGGCTCATCTAGGTTTTTTTTTGGGGGGGGGGTAATAAAGAAAAAAAATTATTTTCCCCCCCAGGCGCAGGGCTGGGGCTGGGGCTGGGGCAGGGGAAGCCCGAGCTTCCCCCGACCCCAGCCCCCAGAACAAGCTGCTATCCGCAAGCCTAGGGAGCCCGGTGGGAAGTCGCACCAGTCTCCCCAGGCTTGCGGATATCTTCCCGAAGCCTGCGGCGCATGGCTCAGTGCGCCCCAGGCTTCGGGATGCAGGCAGCTCCCACCGCCAGCCTCCAAACCAGGTCAGGGAACAGCGGGAAGGCGCGCTCCGCCTCTCCGCTGTTCCCCGAGCTTGTGGGGCTGGCGGTGGGGAGAAGCGCTGCTTTCCCCACCGCCAGCCTCCAAACCAGGTCAGGTTTGGAGGCTGCTATCCGCAAGCCTTGGGAACCCGACGGGAATGCCCGCGGAGCTCCCAAGGCTTGCAGATAGCTTCCTGAAGCCTGGAGAGCGAGAGGGGTCAGTGCGCACCGACCCCTCTCGCTCTCCAGGCTTCAGCAAAAGCCTGCATTCGCCCCATAGGACACACACAGATTTCCCCTTCATTTTTGGAGGGGAAAAAGTGCGTCCTATAGGCGAAAAATACGGTAACCAGTGCATGGAGCACTCTGGCGAGACAGTGCACAGGCAGGTAGGGTCTCAGCTGTCGCAACAGGTGAAACAGGTAGACAGCTGCTCTGGAAACATAGTTGACCTGCACCTCCATGGGCAGCTGTGAGTCCAAAATGACCCCCAGACTCCACACCTGGTCCTTTAGGGGCACAATTACTCCATTCAGGACCAGCGAGTCCCTCACACTTCCCTGCCCCCTGTCTCCGCATTTTGTTGGGATTCAATTTCAATCCATTAACCACCCTCCAACTGCTTCCAGACACCCACAAAGGACCTTCACCACCATCACTGGTTCCAGGAGGTCGAGCCGAGTATGGCCGCGATCGGCTGCCATTCTTCTTTTTTGCAAAGCGGCGTTACATGCAAAAACAGTTTTTACCTGCAGATGCATCTCTTCATTTCTCAGATCTTCCAGCTGACTTCAAAGAGGAAGACAAGGTATAGAAATTCATTCTGTCTCCCAGAAACGCAACTTCTTACCTACACAAATCGGGAGCGAAGAAGTTCTGTTCCACTTAGCTGTACCGCCCACGTTCCTGCATGTCAGAAGATTGCTTTTCCTTGGTTTTCTCTGGTACCCTTTATGACAACTGTAACGGGCAGGTGTGCCCACGACATACCCTTCAGGAGCAGTATATTTCGCAAACTTGATTTTCTGTGGAACGGGGCACTCTTCTGCAAAAGAGAAAGGAAGTGTGCATGTGTGAACCAGGGATATGGGATGTTAGCAAAGCCATTCAAATAATGCATAATAAGACGTAGATTTCAACGGAAGTTTCATAAAGCAGAAGACCCAGTGGATCAGTTCATTCTCTAGTCAGTTCATGCATAAGATCCATATATATAAGTGTCTATTCCACTCAATATGCCAGCAAATTTGGAAAACTCAGCAGTGGCCAGAGGATTGGAGAAGATCAGTCTACATCCCAATCCCAAAGAAGGGAAGTGCCAAAGAATGCTCCAACTACCGCACAATTGCACTCATTTCACACGCTAGCAAGGTTATGCTTAAAATTCTACAAGGCAGGCTCAAGCAGTATGTGGACTGAGAACTCCCAGAAGTGCAAGCTGGATTTAGAAGAGGCAGAGGAACCAGAGACCAAATTGCAAACATGCGCTGGATTATGGAGAAAGCTAGAGAGTTCCAGAAAGACATCTACTTCTGCTTCATTGACTATGCAAAAGCCTTTGACTGTGTCGACCACAGCAAACTATGGCAAGTTCTTAAAGAAATGGGAGAGCCTGATCACCTCATCTGTCTCCTGAGAAATCTCTATGTGGGACAAGAAGCTACAGTTAGAACTGGATATGGAACAACTGATTGGTTCAAAATTGGGAAAGGAGTACGACAAGGCTGTATATTGTCCCCCTGCTTATTTAACTTATATGCAGAATTCATCATGCGAAAGGCTGGGCTAGATGAATCCCAAGCCAGAATTAAGATCGCTGGAAGAAATATCAACAACCTCAGATATGCAGATGACACAACCTTGATGGCAGAAAGTGAGGTGGAATTAAAGAACCTTTTAATGAGGGTGAAAGAGGAGAGCGCAAAATATGGTCTGAAGCTCAACATCAAAAAAACGAAGATCATGGCCACTGGTCCCATCACCTCCTGGCAAATAGAAGGGGAAGAAATGGAGGCAGTGAGAGATTTTATTTTCTTGGGCTCCATGATCACTGCAGATGGTGACAGCAGTCACGAAATTAAAAGACGCCTGCTCCTTGGGAGAAAGGCGATGGCAAATCTAGACAACATCTTAAAAAGTAGAGACATCACCTTACCAACAAAGGTCCGTATAGTTAAAGCTATGGTTTTCCCAGTAGTGATGTATGGAAGTGAGAGCTGGACCATAAAGAAGGCTGATTGCAGAAGAATTGATGCTTTTGAATTATGGTGCTGGAGGAGACTCTTGAGAGTCCCATGGACTGCAAGAAGATCAAACACATCCATTCTTAAGGAAATCAGACCTGGAAGGACAGATCGTGAAGTTGAGGCTCCAATACTTTGGCCACCTCATGAGAAGAGAAGACTCCCTGGAAAAGACCCTGATGTTGGGAAAGATGGAGGGCACAAGGAGAAGGGGATGAAGGAGGACGAGATGGTTGGATAGTGTTCTCGAAGCTACAAACATGAGCCTGACCAAACTGCAGGAGGCGGTGGAAGACAGGAGTGCCTGGCGTGCTCTGGTCCATGGGGTCACAAAGAGTCGGACACGACTAAACAACAAACAATTCCACCTGTCTGTTCATAGAGTCCAATAATCTACATAAAGGGTTGTTACAGTTCCACAGAATCCTTTCACAGAGTCTAAGACAAGGATTTCCGGAATATTAGCCTTTTTTCGCCATCCTAGGCTTCATCAGAAGAACAGGCTCTAGGTAATGCAAGTAAATACAATTTCGTAATCTCACTCATTTTTACAGCAAAAATAATATAAAAAACCATAAACAACTGCACATACCATATGCACCATATTTTTTGCCCTATAGGACGCACTTTTCCCCCTCCAAAAATGAAGGGGAAATGTGTGTGCGTCCTATGGGGCGAATGCAGGCTTTCGCTGAAGCCTGGAGAGCGAGAGGCGTCGGTGCGCACCGACCCCTTTCGCTCTGCAGGCTTCAGGAAGCTATCCGCAAGCCTCACGCGCCCGGTGAGAGGTCCCACCGGGCGCGCAAGGCTTGGGGCGGCAGCCTGCAGCCCGAAGCATGGGGCGCGCTGCGGAGCACGCCCTGTGCTTCGGGCAGATGTCCGCAAGCCTCGTGCGCATGCTTGGGGCGGCAGCCTGATAAAAGTAATCAGTTTTCAGATCTAAAGTACTAGCAGCCCACAGATACAAAATTTGTAATAATGCAAGCAGAGTCCAGGAGGAAAATAAATCCTGACAACACTTCACTGAACGAAACAGTGTATAATTTGAGAGGAAAGGCACAGAGAAGCCTTTCTTACTTCAGACCTGGTTCATAGCGGGAAGACAGTCAACCAGTCATACAGAGGGGGAAAACTCCCTCAGAACAGAACAGCCAATCACATGCTACCTCAGTAAACACACTGCCTGGTTGCTAAGTAATGTCTCTACCAGTCCCTCTCTCGTTTATAATAATAATTTATAATAATTTATTATTTATACCACGCCCATCTGGCTGAGTTTCCCCAGCCACTCTAGGCGGCTCCCAATCGAGTGTTAAAAACAATACAGCATTAAAAACTTCCCTAAACAGGGCTGCCTTCAGATGTCTTTTAAATAATAATAATAATTTAATTTAACAGAGTTAACCCTTTAGTTGCAAACTGGATGATCCTTGTTGTTGCATTTCCAAGGTCTGGGGGACAAACGCAGCCTTCCAAGCCTCTCTGGTCAGTCCCCAAGACTTTCCCCACGCCACAGCCCTCACCAGTCCTGTTCCACAGCCTCCTCAGGCTCGTGAGTCTAGCCAGAATCTGGCCTGAACTCTGAAAATGCTCTTGCTTGCCTCTGTGTGTGTGTGACAATAATACATATACAGTGGTACCTCGGGTTAAGTACTTAATTCGTTCCGGAGGTCCGTTCTTCACCTGAAACTGTTCTTAACCTGAAGCACCACTTTAGCTAATGGGGCCTCCTGCTGCCGCTGTGCCGCTGCTGCATGATTTCTGTTCTCATCCTGAAGTAAAGTTCTTAAACTGAAGCACTATTTCTGGGTTAGTGGAGTCTGTAACCTGAAGCGTATGTAACCTGAAGTGTATGTAACCCGAGGTACCACTGTACATCCATCGCTCCTCCCGCTTTTGCTGCTCCCGTAGCAAATATTACTGGGGTTTAAGTCCACAAATCACAACTTGAGGGATGGAAGAGAGATTCAGCTCAGTTGCATTTAAAGGGGAAATTACCCAATTCACACTTTCTAAACCAACATGCAAATCGAAACACAGCCATCCTTCGAAATTCACACTTCTCCAAGTTGCACAGTGCAGTTCTCCAGCCAGTTAATGTATAACTTTGGGGTAAATGCGCACTCACTGCCGAAAACAGCGTATGAAAAGACATTATACTGGGTGAAATTGCTTTGGAAAAAATGTGTATAACAGGCAAAACTGCACACGCAAATGTGTACATCTGGGGAAATTTGCATTAAGATGCTGACAGGTTTTCATGAGGACTTAAAAATTAATAAATTGTAAACGGGTGTGGAATTATGAGGAATTGAACTGAAGATTGGAAGGATGAGAAACTGAGGCCACATTCACGCCATGCATAACAAAGCACTACGATACCGCTTTAAACAGTTATGGCTTTCCCCACCAAACAATTATGGGAGCTGTAGTTTGTTAAGTTATCACAGGCATAGGCAAACTCCGGCCCTCCAGAAGTTTGGGACTACAATTCCCATCATCCCTGACCACTGGTCCTGTTAGCTAGGGATGATGGGAATTGTAGTCCCAAACATCTGGAGGGCCGGAGTTTGCCTATGCCTGAGTTATCAGGAGACCCCCACCCCCCTCACAGAATAACAATTCCCAGAGTGGTTTAACAATCCCTCGTCCCAGAGAACTCTGGGAATTGTAGTTCTGGCAGGGGACTAACAACTCTCAGCACCCTTTACGAACTACAGCTCCCAGAATTCTCTGGGGGAAGTTATGGCTATTTGAAGTAGTGTCATAGTTATTCACATGTATGGTGTGGTGACTGTGGCTTTAGAATAGGCTTCCTCAACCTCAGCCCTCCAGATGTTTTTGGCCTACAACTCCCATGATCCCTAGCTAGCAGGACCAGTGGTCAGGGATGATGGGAATTGTAGTCCCAAACTTCTAGCCCAACCCCTTACAATGCAATTCTCTCAACACAAACGGTGTTAGTAGACACGTATTAGGATTTTCCTGTAAATGCCCTTTAGAGATGGCTTTGAGCTTCACCCTGCAACTGCGCTATGACTCTCTTGTGACTCATTTAATCAAGAGTGCCCTTTAGAATAGGCAGTTTTGGGGCAAAGGGGGAACGAATGAAAGATAAGCGTCAAAAACAGATGAAAAATGGAAATCCCAGGCTGCCCGCTGCTTTCAAAGAACCGTTTGAAGCCTTAGCAGAAATGTGTCACCCCTTTATGAGGAAGTAGCTTGCGGAGACTTTTTTATTTGATAAGCCTGCTTTCGTTTCAGAATATGTGGCTGAGGTGTGCGGTTAATCTCTCTCTCTCTCTCTTCCGATCATCAGTCCTGCAGGAGAACCACAGCCTGCTACTAGGTTAGAGAAGGGGAGGGGAGTGACCTTAAAACCATCTTATACACACGCAAAGCACATGCACAGACATCTTGTTTTGGCTGAGGACCAGCAAATAGGTTCAGGGCGCCTATTAGTCATTTTAACCATAGGACTCGGGGACGGCTCAAGACTTTTTGCAGCCTGAGGCGAAGGACAAGATGGCACCCTCCCCCAAGGTATATACAGAAGCCAGTTGGACTGGTAGTTGAATCTTACTCCAATACGGGTGAAAGGATGTTGTGTACTGAGTTGAATAGGATCCAAAATGCAGCTGTCTGATTGGCCCTACAACAATAGGATTCAGAATGCAGCTGTCTGATTGGTCCTAGAACAATAGGATCCAGAATGCAGCAGTCTGATTGGTCTGCAGAAGCCACCCAGTCCTGCTCCAGGTGGAAGTGAATCCGCAACCTGATTGGCCTACAGGAGAATCCCGGAATTAGCCAATCACGTGGGGCCCATTGTGTAAATAATGTATACAAAGCAGACATTCTGGGGGAACTTCCATTCCTCCTCACCACTATGAGCTGAATAAAGAGCATGAAATCCACTCTAGACTCCGAGTATATTTCAAAGGACAATGCCTTCCACTGGATTTGGAAGCAATGTCTTCCACTGGATTCTAGCTTAGGGGATACAGGGCAGGCCCAAGCCTGAGGCAGTTGCCTCACTTTGCCTCATCGTAGAGCCGGCCCTGACAGAATCATGGACTTGTAGAGTTGGAAGGGATTCCTGAGGGCCATCTAGACCAACCCCCTGCGATGCAGGAATCTCAGCTAAAGCATCCATGACAGATGGCCACCCAACCTCTGCTTAAAAGCCTCCAAGGAAGGAGAGTCTTCAACCTCCTGACGAAGTCCATTCCACTGTCAAACAGCTCTTACTGTCAGAATGTTTTCCCCAATTTTTAGTTGGAACCTCCTTTTTTGTAACTTGAAACCATGGGTTCGAGTCCTGCCCTCCAGAGCAGGAGAAAACAAGCTTGTTGTTCCCTCTTCCATGTGACATCCCTTAAGACATTTGAAGATGGCCATCATATCTCCTCTCAGTCTCCTCTTTTCCAGGCGAAACATGCCCAGCTCCCTCAACTGTTCCTCATAAGGCATGGTTTCCAGACCCTTCAACATCTTGGTCACCCTCCTCTGCACACAGTTCCAGCTTGTCAACATCCTTCTTAAATTGTGGTGCCCAGAATTGGACACAGTATTCCAGGTGTGGTCTGACCAAGGCAGAATATATTCAATTCAATATAAGTTTATTGTTCTAGCCAATGTCTATGACAAACCTGCAGCAGCAGTACCAATGAAGTAATTGAGATCATACACCCATAATTTGAGCCAACATCTGCAATGTAAGAGAGGTTACCAAGGACACCAACAAACTGAAATCCAGCTTGATTTAAAATTAAACCACCAACCCACCGCAATGATTTCCAGCGATTTTACGTAACTCCTTTTTTCTGATTTCCTCCCCTTGAAGCCAGCGGAATAGAGGTCCACTCTCTGTGTTACGAAGCTATTATCGTCACTCAAAAGAATGCGGACCATTTCTACCTAGCTGCTTGCTTGTGTGAACAGAGGTTTCTGAAAGCAATTTCTTGAGTATATAAGGAGCAGGCTATGGTGTCTTCCACCTCAGGTTGACCACTAATACAAACTCTGTCTGTGTACAGGACCTTGTTGTATCAGCCATCCAAGAGCCAAAACACACCTCTGTGTATATGCATGTCTATCTATCTATCTATCTATCTATCTATCTATCCTATCTATCTATCTATCTATCTATCTATCTATCTATCATCTATCTATCTATCTATCTATCTATCTATCTATCTATCTATCTATCTATTTCTATCATCTATCTATCTATCTATCTATCTATCTATCTATCTATCATCTATCTATCATCTATCTATCTATCTATCTATCTATCTATCTATCTATCTATCTATCTATCATCTATCTATCTATCATCTATCTATCTATCTATCTATCTATCTATCTATCTATCATCTATCTATCTATCTATCTATCTATCTATCTATCTATCTATCTCTATCATGGATATACTTCAGCAACACTTAAGGGAAGCTTTACTTCTGTTCTGGAAAACATATCCTATGTGTTTCCCTTTCTTCCAGCGTATAATGGATGACATCCCTTAAAAATAGACTGTGTTATATGGAGACAGACCATTGGTCCATCTTGCTCAGTGTTGTCCACACTCATTAGGTCTCTCGTTGCCCGAACTGGAGATGCCAGCGATTTAACCTCAGAGCAAGTCAGATGATCAGCCATTGCGTTAGGTGGCCCTTTCCTGGTGTGCATGCCCATTCTGGAGCGCATTATTTGGGAAGATCCTGTAGCTCAGTGGCACAACATGTGCACTGCAGGCAGAAGGTCTCAGATTCAATCGCTGGCACCTGCAAGAAGGGCTAGGACTGCCTCATGCCTGAATCCCATGAGAGTCACTGTAGACAAGTGGGACCAAAGATCTGAGCTAGCTTCCTTGTGTTACCGGCAACCGATGAAGGCAAATTTCTATGTTTCTCAAGCTGTTTTTACTTATGTCCACATTTAATCCATCAAGGCTGACCTCCTAAGCCAGGGGTCAGCAAACTTTTTCAGCAGGGGGCCGGTCCACTGTCCCTCAGACCTAGTGGGGGGCCGGACTATATTTTTGGGGGAGGGGATGAACGAATTCCTATGCCCCAGAGATGCATTTTAAATAAAAGGACACATTCTACTCATGTAAAAAACACGCTGATTCCTGGACTGTCTGCGAGCCGGATTTAGAAGGCGATTGGGCTGGATTTGGCCCCCGGGCCTTAGTTTGCCTACCCATGTCCTAAGCCCACTTACTTGGGAGAAAGTCCCACTTAATTAATAGCATACCCTTCGACGTTTCCCCAGTGAAAATAGGGACACCCTATTCCACAACAATAACAACAACTACAATAACAATTTTATTATTTATACCCCCTATTTTTATAAAATTAAAAATAATTTTATTATTTGTATGCCACCCATCTGACTGGGTTGTCTCAGCCACTCTGGGCAGCTTGCAACAGGCACATCTAAAAACATGATAAAACATTTTAAAAAACTTCCCTATACAGGGCTGCCTTCAAAAGGTTGTTACAGCTAGTTATCTCCTTGGCTCGGGGTGTCACATAACTCCAAACCCTCCAACATTTCTCCAGTTGGAACGGCCTAAGGAAAAGCAGAACATTCTAGGATCAAATCAGAAACCGGAATGACTTCTGTAAATCTGGGACTGTCCCTGGAAAATAGGGACACTTGGAAGGTCTGTAATAGGACTTATTTACTTCCGAGTAAAACTGGTAAGTCCCATTACAAACCTTATTTATTTCCTTATTTACTTCCAAGTAAAACTGGTAACAGGAACGTGGGTGGCGCTGTGGTCTAAACCACAGAGCCTTGGGCTTGCCGATCAGAAGGTCGGCGGTTCGAATCCCCGCGATGGGGTGAGCTCCTGTTGCTCGGTCCCTGCTCTTGCTAACCTAGCAGTTCGAAAGCACACCAGCGCAAGTAGATAAATAGGTACCGCTCAGGTGGGAAGGTAAACGGCGTTTCCGTGCGCTGTTCTGGTTCGCCAGAAGCGGCTTAGTCATGCCGGCCACATGACCCGGAAGCTGTACGCCGGCTCCCTCGGCCTGTAAAGCAAGATGAGCACCGCAACCCCAGAGCCAGGGGTCAGGGGTCCCTTTACCTTTACCTAAAACTGGTAAAGATTGTGGTGTAATTCATCAGGTTGAACCCATACAGTTAGGACAGCCAGAGGACAGCTGCAGCGGTTTGCTACTTACCATCAGTGGCAGCCAATGTGGTAGGTTGGAAAATCCCCCATATGAGAAGTAGCCCAAATCCAGTGTAAAAGCCACCCATGTCTTCTCCAGCCCTAAGATGGTTCTGAAGGTGGCTGGAGGTTTTCCACTGACTGACTGCGAGCCGACACGCCTCTCTAGTGCAGAGCCGGAGGAAAGGGACTTGATAACATATTTATATGCACGTTGTCTCAAGTCTGATCAGCGCTTCTCTCTGACTCTCCCCCATCCACCCCCCTCCTTGTCTAAGAATAGGCGAAACTGGCCTTCTCAGGTGTGAGGACTACTCATCCAGGAAGCCACATTTTCTTGTCAAGGTGTGACACAGCTTTGCTCTTTCTGTGGAGGAGGAGGAAGTGGTTTTCACAGCTGGCTAACGCTCTGCAGATGAGCTTGGCAGAGAGTGGACAGCTCTACCCAAACTCCTTGTGTGGCCATTATTATAGTGACCCCCAAGCCAGCGGACGGTTGCTCGTCTCTGGTCTAGGATGGACTGAAGTGTGGCAAGGAAAAGGAGAATTAAAGCACCATCTTTAACGGCCTCGGCCCAGTATACCTGAAGGAGCGTCTCCACCCCCATCGTTCTGCCCGGACGCTGAGGTCCAGCGCCGAGGGCCTTCTGGCGGTTCCCTCATTGCGAGAAGCTAAGCTACAGGGAACCAAGCAGAGGGCCTTCTCGGTAGTGGCACCCATCCTGTGGAACGCCCTCCCATCAGATGCCAAAGAGATAAACAACTACGGTGGTACCTTGGGTAACATACGCTTCAGGTTGCATACGCTTCAGGTTACAGACTCCGCTAACCCAGAAATAGTACCTCGGGTTAAGAACTTTGCTTCAGGATGAGAACAGAAATCGTGCAGCGGCGGCACAGCGGCAGCAGGCCCCATTAGCTAAAGTGATACCTCAGGTTAAGAACAGTTTCAGGTTAAGATCGGACCTCCGGAATGAATTAAGTACGTAACCAGAGGTACCACTGTACCTGACATTTAGAAGACATCCGAAGGCAGCCCTGTTCAGGGAAGTTTTTAATGTGTGACATTTTAATGTATTTTTCATCTTTGTTGGAAGCCGTCCAGAGTGGCTGGGGAAACCCATCCACATGGGTAGGGTACAAATAATAAATTATTATAATATTATTATTATCTTGGATGCATCCGGCGCTACAGGAGAGCAGGCGCTATGCAGTATTCCAGGTTTTGGAGTGCTCTTGGGTCAAGCACTCTCCCTGGGATTCTTCCACAGTGGGTCAGTGTGGTGTAGTGGTTAAGAGTGGTAGTCTCGTAATCTGGTGAACCGGGTTCGCTTCCCCGCTCCTCCACATGCAGCTGCTGGGTGATCTTGGGCCAGTCACACTTCTCTGAAGTCTCTCAGCCCCACTCACCTCACAGAGTGTTTGTTGTGGGGGAGGAAGGGAAAGGAGATTGTTGGCCGCTTTGAGACTCCTGAAGGGGAGTGAAAGGCGGGATATCAAATCCAAACTCTTCTTCTTCTTCTTCTTCGTCTTGTTCCTGGACCTCTTTGTCAGGTGTGCTGCAATGTCCTCCTTGTTGGTTCCACTTCTTGGCTCAGGCAAAGAGCCAAAGAGCAAGAAGGCAGTGGGATCTACTTATCCTAGTGTACCCATTGGTGGCTGGGATGGGTGAGTCAGGTGGCAGGTGGAGTCAAGAGTTCTTGCTCTTTTTAGCGTGACACGCTTTTGATGTTTACTGAACTATTTCTTTAGGAAATTCCCAGGTTGATCATATGCACTTGATGCTTCTTTTGCCGCTTTCAGATCAGGACGCCCTCATCTCTTCCAGGATGGCTAAATATTTTGCTGCTGCACTTAAAATAGTGCCAGATTTTTTAATTATTTTTTTTTACTGTGGCATACTTTTCTGGCATTTTCTTTTTCTCCCCCCCCCCAATCCTTTATTGAAATTCATGGATATAATACAATATCTTAAATCCACACATACAAAGGAAAAAAAATAACCTTACATAAATTTACTCAGCGCCTAGGACTTGCTGATCGCATGGTCGGCGGTTCGAATCCCCACGGCGGGGTGAGCACCCGTCGTTTGGTCCCAGCTCCTGCCCACCTAGCAGTTTGAAAGCACCCCGGGTGCAAGTAGATAAATAGGGACCGCTTACTAGCGGGAAGGTAAACGGCGTTCCGTGTGCTGCGCTGGCTCGCCAGATGCAGCTTTGTCACGCTGGCCACGTGACCCGGAAGTGTCTGCGAACAGCGCTGGCCCCCAGCCTCTTGAGTGAGATGGGCGCACAACCCTAGAGTCTGTCAAGACTGGCCCGTACGGGCAGGGGTACCTTTACCTTTATTAAATTACTCCTTCCACTTATTTTCTAACTAAGCTAAGATAAAATAAGATAAAGTAAAATAAAGTAAAGTAAAGTAAAATAAAGTAGACTTCCCATCATTTCCCAATGTAATTGATGCTTGTAATACTGAATGACCAAACTGCGGGAGGCAGTGGAAGACAGGAGTGCCTGGCGTGCTCTGGTCCAGGGGGTCACGAAGAGTCGGACACGACTAAACGACTAAACAACAACAATACTGAATGTACTTATAATTACTACCTTACTCTTTATATACTTTCTTACAACGTCGTACCATTTTTCCTTATTTCTTAATATCTACTTTACACAAGAGTCATTCGAACGCTGCCATAGATGTCATATCACTGTTACATTGTTGTCAATATCTATTGAACGTATTCTATTTTTGAATGAATGGTTGTTTTGTATTACCCCTTAGTTTATTTGTCAATAGAGCCATTTCGCCAGAAATTCATTTTAGCAAATGTATTGTTGTGAGTAGTGGGACGCGGGTGGCGCTGTGGGTAAAAGCCTCAGCGCCTAGGGCTTGCCGATCGAAAGGTCGGCGGTTCGAATCCCCGCGGCGGGGTGCGCTCCTGTCGTTCGGTCCAGCGCCTGCCAACCTAGCAGTTCGAAAGCACTTCCGGGTGCAAGTAGATAAATAGGACCGCTTACTAGCGGGAAGGTAAACGGCGTTTCCGTGTGCGGCTCTGGCTCGCCAGAGCAGCGATGTCACGCTGGCCACGTGACCCGGAAGTGTCTTCGGACAGCGCTGGCTCCCGGCCTATAGAGTGAGATGAGCGCACAACCCCAGAGTCTGTCAAGGACTGGCCTGTACGGCAGGGGTACCTTTACCTTTATTTTGTGAGTGGGTTTTCAGTCTACATGGTGCCCTCAGCCCTTCTGGTTGTCGGAGTCTTGTACCCAGTCAGGGGTTAAAAGCTGATGATTCTCTTGCTATCTGGACAATTGCAAAATAATTGCCAACTCCTTGTCTAGACTCTAGGCAATGGCTGTGAATTGGGGTTGGGTAAGCAACACAGCCACAGGCTAATGGGTGAGCCTTCCACAACCACCCTTACCTGGCTGGTATATGGAAGGACCATAGCCAGGGTAGGTGGGGAGGGGTCCCCAGGAGCAAAAAACCCACCTCCTTCCAAAGCCCCTTTCTGCCTAGTGTTAGGGGTGGGGGTTGGAGAGAGGCATTGATTTCCCCCATGAGCTAAATTGGTGATGCCTTCTGTAATTTGGTGCGAGTCTTCCCATTCTGTGCATTTGGGTGAAGGGGAGTCCCATGACAGCTGGGAGAAGGGATGCCTAGAAGGGTGTCTGTCCAGCTAATCAATGGGATTCACCAGGATTCTGCAAAATAAAATAAATAAAATAAAATAATAAAATAAAATAATCCTTCCAGTAGCACCTTAGAGACCAACTAAGTTAGTTATTATGGCGACGCGGGTGGTGCTGTGGTCTAAACCGCAGAGCCTAGGGCTTGCCGATCAGAAGGTCGGTGGTTTGAATCCCCGCGACGGGGTGAGCTCCAATTGTTTGGTCCCAGTTCTGCCAACCTAGCAGTTTGAAAGCACATCAAAGTGCAAGTAGATGAATAGGTACCGCTCCAGCGGGAAGGCCAATGGCGTTTCCGTGCACTGCTCTGGTTCGCCAGAAGCGGTTTAGTCATGCTGGCCACATGCTGGCCAAACGCCGGCTCCCTTGGCCAGTAAAGCGAGATGTGCGCTGCAACCCCAGAGTCACCCGTGACTGGACCTAAAGGTCAGGGGTCTTTTTAAGGACCTTTACCTTTTAAGTTAGTTATTGGTATGAGCTTTCATGTGCATGCACACGTATCTGAAGAAGTGTCCATGCACACAAAAGCTCATACCAATAACTAACTTAGTTGGTCTCTAAGGTGCTACTGGAAGGAATTTTATTTGTTTTTTTGTTTTGTTTTGTTTTGTGTTTTGTTTTGTTTCGACTATGGCAAACCAACACAGCTACCTACCTGTAACCAGGTTTCTGCAGTTGCTGACATAGTCATCTTTTCTGAAAATAATTTTTATGCGTTTTTACAAACAAAAAGTTAAAACAATACCAAATACATAATCATATATTGAGGTTTCTCTGAATCTCCCTTCCATGGGTCCAACTGTCAACATCATCAACTGCATGTTATTTCATAATTCATGTATTGCACCTCTCCATATTATCCATAGTATTTGTTACATCACAAGTGTTATTAAAATCCTGCTAACACTTTTATCTGCTTACAGTGGTCTCCTAGGTAAGTTGTAAGTTTCCCCCATTCTTTTCTTAAGGTTTTTGTCTTCTTGGTTCTTGAGCTTTCCGGTCAGTTTGGCCATTTTGGCGCACTCCAACAGCTTAATTTGCCATACTTATAATTTGCTCAGAAGTCTGAAACACTAATAAAAGGGGCAAAGTTTATGTATCCCTGAACTCAAATGTTTATATGTTCCTTGACCCCAGGTGGGATTGGATTGGGAGAAGACTCCTGCTCAATCACTCCACATTAATTAACCTTCGGGTAACGTAAACTTCGGGTTGCGAAAGTGGCAAACCCAGAAGTATATTTCTGGGTTTTGCCGCTTGCTCAGAAGCGCTCTATGCTCATGCGCAGAAGTGCTTTTTTGCGCCACGTGCGTGCGCAGAAGCAGTGGCGTAGCGTGGGTTGTCAGCACCCGGGGCAAGGCAAGTAATTTGCGCCCCCTAACCCATGGATTTGCGCCCCCTAACCCGTGGATT